CCTATATAGTAAAAGGCTAATATGCAAATAGACCGAACGCCAAACAACCGATCGCAATGACGTGCGCTGACCACCAGGGGGTGTGTGCGAAACATGGCGGGTGTTGGCCGTGGTGGGATGGTGGAGCATGTGAGAGGGGGCGCAAGACCAAGGAGGGGCGCCAGTCGCTGTCATTGGGGCGAGCCTCTGGTGGTTATTAAAAATTCTTTGCTCCCGCACACCGTGGTCTCGCCTGGCACTTGCACCTGCTGCCGGTGCTGGCGCCGGCCCCACTTGCACCCGCAACCAGCACTGGAGCCGCCATTTGTACCTGCTGCCAGTGCCTGGCGTCAGTCCCAATCACTCAGCGCCATCAGTGGGTGCGAGCGGTGGCTGCTGCTGGCCCTGATTGCCCCTGAGGGTTTCTCCACCTCCCCCTGCTCCTGAGGGGAGACCAGGGCAGCAGACGCCACTCACACCCACTGCTGGCGGCGGCCCCAATCGCTCCCCACTGTCAGCGGGTGGGTGCGAGCGGGGCTGGCGGCATCAGCGCATGGGAGCAGCAGTAGTGGGAGTGGGGCTGCTGGCAGACAGGGAACAGGGGGCTGCAGCAGGAGGGGCCAGGCAGGGGTGTTGAGGATGGGCTAAGACCCGCCCCTGTGCCTACTGCAGCCTCACAGGCCACAGTTCCTTTCAAGGTGCATGAATTCGTGCACTGAGCCCCTAGAGTGAGTGTGTGTGTGTGTGTGTGTGTGTGTGTGTGTGTATCTATCTATATATATATCTATATATCTATATATCTATATCTATATCTATATATCTATATCTATATCTATATCTATCTATATGTATTTTTTACAGACAGTCCTCGGGTTACATCGGACTTGACGTACATTGTTTCGTGGTTACGTTGCCATCTCCAATATATATATAGATATCTATATAGATATATATTCCCCGTTTGGTGTAGCTCACAGATTTAGTGTGCTCACAGACTTCTTGTGATAATCCGAAGCCAATATAAATATCATGGCCAGGCAAAGCATATTGGCCAGCACATAACAAGATATTATCCATCAGGAAAGAATACAACTCAAGCCTTTCTCCCCTCTCTAGAGGAGAGTCTTTTTCTCCCCAAGGATTTAACTCATTATTCAGGAAGATAAAATATTTAAATCCAGCATCCTAAAAGGGATAAGCTAATACTGTCACTTCTGCTTCATGAAGATGACTCTGACAGAGTTTATACAACCAACCAGAGGCCTTGGGCAACGCCTCTGGAACTAATCACCTTAGCCTTATCTCTTCTTGGTCTCGGAAATGAATAGCAGCAGCATGGTATGCCAGCACACCAAGGTCACTGTAAGAAGTCTCACACACAGAGGAATTCAGAAACTGGCTCTCCCACAAGGAGCCCAGAAATGAACCTCCATGGCTCCAGGGAAAAGCTAGTCATGCTTCGGTCTGCAGTAAACAAGGGTGGAATAGATAATTTAGACAGGGTGCAATAAGACCAGCAATTCTGATGCTTCCGCCGTAGGGACATGCTGCAATCTCCTTTTTTTGCCTGCTCTCATCCAGGCTTGAAAGCAAGCATTAATTCCTCTCATTATTTGCTTTAATTGTGCCGTTATCTTCGGTCTAAGGATCAAAGCTCTGGCTGAGCACATATGGAGAACATCATTAGAAAATGATCTTGGGGATCAGACGGCTATGGGAAGAAATAAAACCCTGAGACTATCCAGGAAGGATACAGCCAGCTCTGTTCCAACATCTGTAGTCCAGATACTGTAGAAGGGATTCGTGAGTTGTACCCCTCTACAAAGAGAAACGAGATGGAAAAGCAAGAAACAATTAATACAGAGGCAAAGGGGCACTTTCCTTTCTATATAGTCTTAGCTTTTCAGCTGGAGGGGTGGAGGGTGTATTTAGAAATGTCACAGAGGACTTAAATAGAAGAAGAGTTTGAAGAATATCGGCCCAATCCGGCCAGTGTTGCCCAGTGGTTGAGCCTCAACCTAGGAACCACGAGGTCACGGTTTGATTCCATGATCAGGGCAGGTGCCCTGGTTGTGGGCTCGATCCCCAGTAGGGAGCGTGCAGGAGGCACCTGATCAATGATTCTCTCTCATCATTGATATTTCTATCTCTCCCCTTCTCCCTCTCTCTCTGAAATCAATAAAATACAATTTTAAAAAAGGAATAATCAGCCCAAATCGTTTGCATCTATAAAGAGCTTTACCTTTGATTTAATCCCAATCCCTATCTGAGGATGTGACCATGTCCACAGTCTCCCAACTACCCTTCTCCCTTTTGAAAGCTCCTCCTGAAGAGCGGGCAGTGGACATGCTGGTGTGCATTTCAGCCCAGAGTCCCACAGGCATCTGCTCACCTCTCACACATGTCAAATATGAAGAGGCAGAAAGAGCCAACAGCGATTGGTCCGACTTGCTTCCAATACCCTGCTATGTGATTCCGCTCATGCTGATCCTGATGAAAGCCAAGTTGAGAAATGAGATAAAGATGGGGAGAGCAAAACAATTCTATAGGTGAGTCAGTCATTCAAACAATCCTTGCTGACAACCTGCTGTGTATCAAACATCGTGTCAGACTCTAGGCTTTTGAGAATGGGTGAGACCAAAATCTGTTCCTAAAACTCTCATAGTAATAACAACAGGGTGCTACAGGAACACAAAGAAAGGCCTTATAGGTTAAATAATTTAGAATTAAATTCCTATGTGACTTATTCTTTGTGTTTGATAAGGTGGGGTGGTCCCCAGAGGACTGAATAAAGGCTCTAAGGTATTCAACTATGTCAAATGTAAGAGGTCTCAAGGTTAGGAAAATAAATCCATGTTTTCCCTGTCTTTATTCAAAACAGGAATGGTTCCTCTTGATACATGTACAAAGATACTAAAAGACAGAAAATAAAGGGGAGTGGCTGGGGAGTGTTGGGGTGGGGGAGCTAAGAGATCAACTGAAGGACTTGTATGCATGCATATTCCATGTTTTTGTCTTTATTCAAAACAGGAATGGTTCCTCTTGATACATGTACAAAGATACTAAAAGACAGAAAATAAAGGGGAGTGGCTGCTGAGTGTTGGGGTGGGGGAGCTAAGAGATCAACTGAAGGACTTGTATGCATGCATATAAGCATAACCAATGGACACAAGACAC